GCATTCAGAAAAGCATTCTATGCTGCTGAACTGTCTTCTTCAGTCAACGGTTGTGTGAAGAACAAACTGCCACTTTGTACCACATCCATATGTGTTTGTCAGTTTACCTGCTCTTGTGGAGTTGAGTATTTAGACAACACATAGTGCAGTCATTCAAAACGTATCTTCGAGCACTATACTGCTTGACTTTCCAGATAGGAACGCAATTCAAGCAACGGTTCCATCTTGGATCATTTACTTAACTCTAGCCATGTCGTCTCCCCACAATCTTCTTTGAACATCTTATACAAAGTCAAGCCAAATGGTTGAATGGAGTGCGGACAGGCTTTGGCACTTTAATAGTTAAAACTTCAGGTCTGTGTATTTATTTTAGTTTTAATAACTGATTATTATTACTTTTTACTTTCCTACGTCTTAACAGGTTAGTTTCAATCTTCCCTTATGATTCTCATAATTTTTTACTCCGATTATTGTTTGTAATTAGTATTATTATTATTATTATCTGTTTTACCTGTTTATTTTTTAACCTATTAGTCATCACGTTAATCTACTGCATATTTCACTTACACACACTATGATTACGCAATCTATTCCTAACTCTAGGATCGACTTACTATTTCACCTTAGAATATTCGGTTTTGATGACCTAATGTTGACATATTAGCCAGTGGATTTTAATCTCTTGGGGATTCTCGCCAATTGTATTTGTACACCGGTATATCGGTAGAACGACCCCCATTAGGCAGTAATGATGTATAATTCTGATGTTCATTGACACATTCCTGGGTATGTCATTCATCTATGAATTCTGGCTTTGAAATGTTTTACGGTGGTTTCAATACCTCTTACATATGACATCACAGTTATTGTCGGTGTCAAATGAAAGGACTGAAAAGGTGTTCATTCTAGTGGTGCAGCGGTGAAATAGGAAATCTAGTTACCTTGCGTCACCTGCATATCACATGGCTCCAGACGTTAGTAATTATGTCTCAGTATCATATATGTACGCATATACATGAACGTGGGCCATAGTGAAACGTTGTAGTTAACTTGTTGATGGATAGCATTTGAATCCATTAAGTATGTTTCATCCTAACTGGGACTCATCAGCTACATACACCTGCACTCCAACCCAGTAACCATAGCTTCGAACGCCAGAGGGTTATCCTCTAGGTTAGTGAGGCAAGGCAGCCACCTCTTGTGTGACAAGTTTCAGTTATTGTCGACTGATACTCGCGATTTCCTGTTGCCATTCTGGATAGAACTACTCGATGTTTGTTGGCTGAAGGGCTCCTATACAGACCCCTTCATACTACCTGGATGTATTCATTATTGTTGCTGTTTACATGGTGGTGTCTAGCAGTGGAACGTACTGTCCAAAATGACGAGTGAAAAAGGCTGAGGATTGAGATTTCAAAAGATCATGAATGTTGGCACTAGCTGAGAAGTAATCACAAGAATAGAAGTTGATGGAAAGTGTGTAAATGAGGAAAGAGAAGATTATCAAGATGACTTCTTGTACGGTGGTTTTAACAAGTGATCATAGATAATGAGAAACATCCTTGATATTCCTTACACGTAAGATAAATTTGAGCTATCTGGTACTCCGCTTGAGGTTATTCCTGACATCGAGAATAGTTGGAGAGATGGCGTCAATAATATAAGACATTTGATTGTAAAATAAGTCAAGGGAACACAGTTTAGAGATTACTGAGTCAGCCACGTTCTAGCTCCACTCCCATAGAATTTATTTAGTCTTCAATTGCCACTGGACGGAAAAACGTTATGTCATCTTCTACTGGTCTGTATGCACAATGACAAGGCAATATCCTCAAGACGGTAGTTGTTGTTTGAGGTGAAAAGAGACCGGATCTCAGTAATGTACATGCTCATTGAAGTAATATGAAGAATGAATACATCGACTTCACTGTATCCAACTTTGAGTCATATAACCTGTATAACCATCGTCTTCACTTACCTTGCACACTCCGAACAGATAACTATCAGAAACTTCAAAATTTTTGTGTCATCTTTTTATTTGAGTTGATAAACACGTTGCTGAGAATGATCGATCTGCGAATGATTTACAAATTACACGGTCCACATTGACATTCCTTGGACAACTTTTCTGTCGGAGACCACCCGTCAGCCAAGATCACAAAATGTGATTTCTGACAAGTGTCATGAACTAGCGAAGTATACCACTACTGAACAACTTGAGTAGTTAGAAAACACTCAGGGTGAGCTGAATTTCTCCGGGTACACAGATGATGAGCTCAGCTTCAAAACCTAGAAATGGGCATCCACTTTGATCTAGCTAGAGAAATGTACAGATCGGCTTGACCACTTTCTTATCACTCGAGTTTTTTAGTAGTATATTTCGTTAAAATCTTTGATCCTATGCTTGGATTAGCTATGATAGCATATCAAGTGATGGGGTCAGTGTACGGAAGGGAGACTTCAACCAATGCAGTTATCACAATTTCATCAACCTTTTCATCTTTTTTTTTACCTGAACATTCTACAAATAAGTAATAAGTAATAACGCAAAAAGGCATCCAGAAACACATTCTTCCTGATAATAGGCGTCACTATCAACCTAGTACCTAGATATGAAAGAACTTTCTGAGTTGCATCACTGTCGTAATTATTTGAGGCTTCAGCATTTGAAAGCAGTAAAGTTAAACAGAAAAGCAGAAGAGCAGAAGAGATAATTCAGTGAAAACCTAATATTTCGACGGTATCATTTGCTAAAGTTGTACAATCGTATTTATACATAACACAAAAGTATAACAGTCTATTGTTGAACAATAGGGTATAGCTCTAGTATTAAGCTACGGGTGAAAACTGAAATCAAGACTGGAAAAAAGTTGAGCAATAACCTCTTAGATAATGGAAATAATGAGAAAAGTACAGAGTTTGACAAAGTGAAAAGTGTTGGTACATGTAGAAGGTGACGACCGAGTGAGTGTCCACTTGGTAGATATAAAGAAGGGGAAGAAAGAAACATGAGTCATAATGGTGACAACAGTAAACTAATTAATTATAACGGTAAGATAAGAGAGTGAGCATACTTCTTCTCCACGTAGAGATAAGGCTTCAATTGCTGAATTCCTGGTGTTTCCGCTGTGCACAACTGTCGAAAGCATATTGCTTTTGAACTATTCCCCTTGACTCTATAAATGACACTGAAGGAGGACTAAATGTTCAAGAAATAAACTATTAGTTGGTTAGCATTCTCTTGTCGACAACCATGCAGGATAGTGCTGAGTTACGCTTGGGAAGTGCACGCATTGTCCGGTCTATATAACTAGCTCCACAACAGCAAATCTATTTGTAGGAACACACTGAGGTGTCCCAAAGCGGCAACTTACCCTTAACACAGTCCGAAACCAATTGTTGAGTAGATAAGCTAACCTGTAGCTTCTCAGAGAATTCTTCAGCGACTTGGACAGCCGATTTCTCAGGATCGCAACTTCCGTATCACTTTTGAAACCAACGTTCATAATAACAGTCTTCTTTCTACTTGTGAGTACTTGCTCCGTATTCTGTTTTAATTTCAAGTTCTCAATAAATCTGGACAGGTATCCATCATGTATGGGAATTTTCCGTAGTCTGTCGAATTCATCATCGATAGTATCACTCGTGTAGATTCTTGTTGACAAAGCATGAGTCAGACTCCTTTTCCTGGCGAGGAGCACTTAGCAAAAGAAGTGAATCGGTTCAAGTTATCGAAATCCACATATACACGCAAGGATGTTTACAGAAAAATTGAAACTAAGGTAGACAAATGTGCGTTAGCAGAAGGAATAAACAGATGAGGCTTAACAAAATGTAAAAGACTTTGAAGATGACAAAGAGTCTGTACATTTGTATCATTATGACCGACTTCCAGACACATAAACAAGTCTCCGATAATTGGTTTCTATAATCATGAGCATCTCAAGCCAAGCAGTCTACACGGCTCAGATCAAATTTCACCGACTGATGCCATATCTTAGACTGACCACTTTGAACTTTCTTCCAACCCAATCTTAATATGATTACACGTCGAGGTACGCAGTGGCTCGGCGTGAGTAACACATGTCCAAGTCACCTCATCCACTGAAACTGCCTAGTTTTCTTCACCTAGCCTTGATATTGCTCACATGCTGATTCCGCCATATGTGAGTAATGCTTCGAAAACACGTGTTCGAAAATACATGATCTCTTCATTTTTTCAGAGGCCACGTCTTACAGCCGTATAAATAAAACAAAGTGGACTACACCATGTCCATTAACAGATAGTCAAACATCCCACTAGCACTATAGAAGACGCAAGCTAGTGAACGCGAAATAGGTCCCCTATATATGAGCTGGAATTTCGTTAGATGCAACTTGCCACGTGAGTGAGGTGATGAACACATCTTACCACTTCATACTCAATTTGTAAACGGAGATTAGCTACAGACCGCTTCTAAAGCATCATCTTACATTAGATGGGCACAAAAAGGCACGAAAACACTTCGACTTCTGTTGAAATTGTTTAGAAAACCTTACATTTTGTCAGTGTTTTCGCTCAACAACACAATGTCATCCGCGTACTTCAAGTCACCCAAATCCTCCAGGTTGGAGGTACCTAAGATCATGTATCTAATAATACGCTTGTAAAGATGTTGAACGAGAACGGTGATAACGGGCATTAGTGGTTATCATCACCTCAGATAACTCCCCATTAGCACTTACACGGCTATGAAATTTGAGATATTTTCATGAAGTAAATAACACCACAGTGAATAGGGCTACTTTTGAATCATAAAAGCATATATAGTCGAACACGACTTAATTATGTATAATAGGAGAGTGCAGGACTGCAATGCAGTACATTTATCCTCTAATAAGTAGTTACATATTTAGTCAGTTTCACAGATGATGAGAGTTGGCAAATACAAAACGGGACTTTCATATCGCAGCTGAAATTTCCTAAACAACCATCATTCCAAGAGAACAGAAAAACAGTTTTACACGCATAGCTATTGAATTTATAAATATACATGTGTATATATCAGCTCATAGTGTGATTGCATATACGAAAAAATCATCATCATCATCATCATCATGATGATGATGATGATTTACATAAGAAAGATTGGTGCTTTATTGATGAAAATGTCACACATGTTACCCTGAAATATAAATGATACATACAGTCCACAAAGATACACGGAGAAGGAAAGAGTAGACACCTTGAAGAACAAACAGTAAACAAACGATCTATCAAGTGTGACCAATATCAAATATCCAGTGTTCGACGACAAAAATATTTAAACACAATTGAACTATATACTCAAATTGGCTCAAAATGATTGGTTGAAATGAAGCAAAAAGTAAGAGTCATTGAATGGTTGATAGTTAGTCGACAATAGATAGCATGTGAGACAAGTTGAATATACAGTGTAGAATGGTCACGATGTAGACAAAATATATATGACACGATAAAGGCGTTGACGTATACGCAGGTGTTGATATATCTGTAACAAGAGTTGGTTATTACTTCTCATGGACAATACCCAAGCGCCAACAACAAGTTATCATAGGATGTCATACAAAGCAACAAACACACAGAAATAGTCGATTTTTGACGGACAACCTTACTTGCTTTACTGTAAGCGTGCGCGCAAGAGAGCGAAAGACAGGCGAAACACATCGCATTTACAACAGAAAGTACTGAAATGCAACATTGAAAACAGTCAAATAAAGCGCACTTATTAGATATTTTTTAATTTAAAAAAAAAGTAAGGCGAATTGTGAATATATGTATATATGTGCAATGAAAAGGCCAAAAGATGACATTGAATACAACAGAAGAGCCCCAGTATGACTAAAGCCAAAAAGAATGAATTCGTAGACAGAATTCTTAAAATATATCGACATGTTTCGTGGTAGGGTTAGTACACGACAATAGAACAAAAGTACACAAGGATATACACACACATACCAACACAAAATATGGGCAATGAAAACAAATAAACTCAAAAAGAAGAAAAAGCTTTAAATGAATATTATTTAATAAACATTGACGAGGTATTTTAGCAAGTCAAACAAGAGATGGTATTACTTTCCTTTATTTTTCTTCATTGTTAAACAAATTGAGGCGCATCTGGATCTGATGAAGGAACAGGTATTCCAGGATTGTATAATAAAGGGCGCATATATCGAGCATTATCTATCGGATCGAATGCAAATACCTAGGAAAGCAAAAAAATAGGGGCTGGGAGAGTGAGTCGGAAGACAGTAAACAAGTGATAAACACAATATAATCAGGGGGGGATAATGCAGGAAATGACTTAAGATGGATAATAATAATAATGTAATTGAATCGAAATGCACTCAGCAACCACGTGCGAGTTGGTGCAGTAGGCAACGCACACATACACAAGATACTACTTGGCTGTTGAAACCAGCAGTAGGTGGAGTGGGTTTTTATTCACTCACTCACTATTGTGAGACCCTAGTTTTGCATGAAACACTGTTATTGATCAGAACATTTCTAACTTGCCATTCTCATACTGTTTTTAACGATATAACTGTTATTCAGATGACTAAGGATTTTTCAATTTAGAGGTAATATTCATCATGGACTGACATCAGTTGGGGAACCATTGAAAAACTGGGAACACTGGATAGCTGTCTCGTCCTAGTATGGTATTCCTCAGCAGTACGCATCCACGACCCGACTAGGGATCGGATTCACGACCTTCAGGTTTCACAGTGAACGTGTTAACCATCAAGCCACTGGGTGGGAGTTCAGTGGTTCACAGTTTTTAACTTATATCAATTCACGATATAGCGCGGCTAGCAACCAAGGTCTTTAGTTGGCATCCGCTTCACTTCCGACTAGTTGACCTCACAGGTCATAAGCTTCTCATTAGAACTTCGTGATATCTATCTGGAAACATGTCACTAATGAGGACTATACAGTAATGTATTACTGAGAGGAATGGGGATCTTAATTTAGAAGGTAGTATTCATCACGGAATGACATCAGTTGTTCCAATCATTAAAAATTCCCATTCCCATTCAAAAGTCATTTAGGAGGAGAAATAATATTCTACTCGATAACTTCTCCTACAGATTTTACAGTTATATGTACATATTGAGGAATTGTGCGTCAACAGTTGAAGGATTTCGCCCATCAGTCTGTTAGGAATATCTATTTTACAGTTGACGAAGTCAATTGAAAAAAGTTGTGTGTGAAAGTTTATGTTGGGATCAATTGTTACTAGGATTCAATTCAATACAGGTGATTATCTAAACAATTATACTGTGCGCATTATATTCGTTCGAAATAATATAACTGTTGGAGTTCGAAAACATAACACTCACTCACTTTTTGTGTGACGATTCAGAATAACTACTTGGTGGAACAGGGTTCCCACTAATGATTTTTACTGCTTCAAAATCAAGTTCTCACTTCAATTCACCGTAAGTTATATGGTTAGCATTTCTTTGGAATAAAAATTATCAGTGAGGCATAGACGAAGATGGCGCCGATTTTACTGGTTAATTACAAACGCGTGCATTTCAAATGGTTCTGTTTTGTTTACAGTGTATAAATCTGATGTGCAGTTAATACCCTAAATGATTCAACACCCGTAAGTCCGCTGCATTTAGTAATGAATTATTGCAGGAAATCAGTACGAAGTTCCTTTTTGACCTAGATGTCGCATCTATTCAGTAAGTCTATTTTTTTTTAACCATAACTGTAACCCTATTTGATTACGGACCTTGGAATGTAAAGAAATGAGACGGATGAAACTTTTATGGCTTTTTCTGTTTTAACAAAACGTGTTCATATATTATTTTTATATTTTCATCCACAAGAAACTGGAAAAGTAATTAGGAAACAAAAAAGGATAAGACATAAGGGAAGTAGAAAATGCTTGGTGGCATAAACACGTCCTGCATGCAACCTTATGTCGTCATTCAAAATAAACCCAGTACGATTAAAAGATGGTCAAAAGCTAGAAATATATAATATGTAAGAATCAACTTTCAGAGTTGCTTACAACTAAAGAGTTGTGAAATTCAATTGAAAGGTGGGTAGGGATTCATTTATTGATTTCATAACGGACTTGTATCAGTGGAGGAAGCATTGAAGGAAACCTAAGAGTACAGTATATGTTTCGTCCCAATATGGGATTCTTCAGCAGTGAGTACCCATGACCCCACACTCTAAGGATCGAACTGAAGACATTTAGGTTCCGCGGTCAGTACGTTATCTTTGAATCACTGAATCGGCGGAATCCAATGATGCAGTCTCTCCACGGTATAGTATAATCGCTAACCAATACCAACTTATTTTTTCCTAACGAACATAACTTCTCAGTATACGTTTGCAGAGCCTCAATCCCGAAGCAAGTCACTCATAAGCGCACCCAACAGCAATTTAATTTGGAGTCCCATACTACCAGGATGAAACAATTGACCAGTGTTCCCAGGTTCACTTCAGTGGTTCTGCGAATGATGTAAGTATGTGATGAATAGCAATTTAGAACTAAAAGAGACTGACCAGAGAAAAAGATAGAGGTTCAATAAATCCCTTTCAATACAGAAACAGTTATGAAAATACCATTTGAAGGAACAAAGAATATTCTTCGCGATAACTTCTACAGGTCTTGCAGTGAAATGCACATAATGAAGAATTATGTGTCAACAACTAAAGCATCCCGCTCATCAGTTTGAGTAATTACTATTATTTGTACCTTGGGTGGAACATAGGGCTTCAGTAGCACGTCAACATTTCACTCTCTTCTCTCCACTCTTTCCAACCCGGCTCCACGACTACCCATAACCTTTTATTCCTTCCTCACACCATCTCCACCATGTCACCCTCGCCTCGGAAGCCCAACTCGTCGTTTCCTATTTGGGTTCGACTCGAGTGACTGGCGTGATGCTTGATGCTCCAAATCGGTCTTCTCAGTCTATTTCTAATCCAATCCAACTCATCTCCACTTTCTTCTGCATATTTGTTAGGCGACAGGTCGTCGGTTGGTTGGTTCGTTGCCAGCCAGCCAGAGTTCCTTCTTGCTTATTCTTATCATTCTGGACATCCATCTCATCTCCATCTTCAGTATCCAGTGAGAGTAGGCGGCAGATGTTGGTGATGTATGTCTGCAGTTTGTTGGAAATGCTTTTCGTAATGTGTTAAGTCTCTCAACTATCACATAGAACCACTGACTTACTTGACAGAATTAGTGTTGAAAATCTGGATCTTGTTCACGCTTTATGCTGAGTGCAGTAGATCTCCATACTGATTTCAGACTAATGAAGGGAGACCTGTTTTGCTGTCTTTCCGATTGTGGCTTTGACGTCCTCATATGTGCCACCACCTTTAGTTGAAACGATGCTGCCTAGGCAGGTAAGTAAGTGGATAGGTGAAAGAGACAACATCGTTTAGATTTCTACCGTTGACGGTAATTGATACTTAGTGTTGTTGGTTGGGTATGTTCATCACCTCTGTCTTCTCTACGTCCACTTGAAGTCCCGAATTCCTTCGCTGACCTGCTTTTTCTGTCAATTTATTGGTTTTCGCCTGTAGATCTTCGAGTTTGTGCGATATAAGACATAAATCATCATCGGAGAAATCCAAATCTCTCAGGGTGTTTTCATCGGTCGAATAGCGTATGCTCATCTATTCGCTCCTCACAGTTTGTTGCACAATCCAGTCGACCAAACTCAGGACTTTCATCGGTGATGGGAGGCAATACTGTCTTACTACTGTCTTCACTTCAAAGGCGTCACTCAGCTTCCCATTGTGAATCACTCGGCATGTGGTGTCTTCATATACCTGCTGAATGAGGTTGATAGAGGTTTGTGGCACTGAAACCATAATATTGAAGCAGTTTCCAAATTACTTCTTGGTCGACGCTGGCGAAGGCCTTTTCGAAATCGATGAAGTTGAGGTAGACTACCATTTTGTGCTCTGCTCTATGATGATGCGCAACGTAGTGTTACAATTTGTACTTCCTGAATCCAGCCTGTTCCGGTCATAATTTTGAATCCAGCGCATCTTTTAATCTCTCTAGGATGATGTGGCATTATATTTTGATTGGGGTGGACAGAAGCATGACTTAGGTCACCCTTGTTTAGGAGTTTAACCTTCTTTCCTATAAACTGAAATAATTTTAACAAATTCTGTTAACGTATTTTGTTCTTTTTGGTTTATTTCATCCAGTTGTGATAAACACCTTCCCATTGTTTTATTAAACTATCACATAAGCCGCATAATTATTTAGATAATTGAATTGAATCCTAGTGACAATTGATTTTATCGTAAGCGTTCATATACGACTTTTCTCAACTTTACAATATTAGTAACAAACTGATAGAAGGAATTCCTATATTGCTGACGCGTTATTGCTCACTTCGTACACGTGACTGCTGGATTTGAAGAAGAGATTATCGCTTAGAACATTACTTGTTCACTTAAGTGGCTTTTAAATTGTAATGGGAATCCTCAACGACTTTTCAGATGTATTGAAGTGTTTACTTATCAGCTGTTACAGTGAATCCATGTGGTTATATTATTTTGACATCAGCACTATATGATGGTTAACATTCTTAACTGCTTATGTATTCACAGAATGATTCGAAACATGGTGATATTCAAACATTTTCAATGCGTACTTTTTTTCAATTGTATTTAAATTGATGTTTTTGTTGATCTAATAAGTTTCTTATTCATAAACATTAATGTTTGAATACACGGAGGGAGAATTGAACTCTTTGAAGGCTAGGTCAGTGAATTTGATTGTGATGCTAAGTATTTTGACACTGAGATAATTCAGTTGTACAAAGCGTGTCCTTTACGAACGTATCTCTGATCACCATGCTGTGTCTTCGGTAAGGGGGAAAATGTAAATCACTTAGCAGTTCAGTTCCTGAACAACGTTTTTGGTCAATTCTAAACATATAGCTCCACCAGAGTCTCCCTTCAGCGTCATTTACAGAGTCGAAGGGAATAGTTGAAAAGGCATATGCTTTTGATGGTTATCCATGGTAGAAGCATTGACAATTCACCAATTCAAGTCTGATCTCTACGCGGAAAAGTATGTTCAAGCCCTTATCTTACCATTCTTCACCTTCTTTCAGTCCAACAAGTTGACACTGAGAAATCGCATTTCACATAAACCAACAATTTTCACTTTGTCAAACTCCTTATCTTTCTCATTATTCCCTTTGTCTA